TCGATGGAATAAAGACTTTTATTATTATTAAAGGGCAAGATTCCCGTATAAAACCATACCACAGAATGTATGTAAGGAAAATTTTGCAAGCCAAGTTCCATGCTTCGTTAGACCTACAGTTCCTGGATAAAGAAAGCAAAAACAATGAACAGCAAAAACAGTACATTGTTTTTGGGACTACGGCATTGTTTTAGAATAGTATTGGGTTATAGGGAAAACTTTCCAGAGGTTAGGCTGACGGAAGAAAAGCGTGGCAAGTAGTAATCGGTGGCGGATCCAGGCTCTAAGCTAAGGGGGAGCCCAGTTCAATCAATCAATCAAGGAATCGTTTACTCAACCCTATTGCAGTAACAACTGAATTACAGGGCGCGGTCGCGACATACATTTTGAAATTTGACAGTTACAAAATCATTAAATCTTTTGCATTTGCCAGTAGGGGCCTGATACACGATTGTGAGCGGAAATTATAACCGTGGTAATAAACCAGTGGAACCCGAAAGAGACTACTAAGTGTTCCTGACACATGACAGGACTTGGCAAAATTCACGCAAGCTTGTTGCCACCTATCGCTAAGAAGTTCAAGGTCAGCAAGATGTAGTGCGTCGCTATAACAACGATCAGGGAAGCCAAAAATAAAGAGCTTTCCTCTGGACTTGTTCTAAAAAGTCACTTAAGTAGGCTGGAAGTGCCGCCCATACAGGGGATGCATATTCGAGCACAGAGCGAATCGTACTGCAATATACAGATACTAATTGGGAAGGTGAAAGTCCACTTTACTTAGGAATCCTCAACCCGTAGAGGCGTTTGGTAGCTTTATCGAATATATACTCACAACGTGCGTTCCATGAAAGGTCATCAGAAACTATGACCCCCAGCAGTTTGTACTGGGATACCCTTTCGATTAGGGCGCCCCCTATTAGTAGAGGACTGGAACATGTTGATTTATACTGGAGAAGGCCAACAACCATCTCTTTACACTTCTTAGGGTTTAGTTTCAGATTGCGTTCCTGGGAGTACTTAGATGCGATGACGGGCAAATGGCTATTAGAGTTCCTGGGAATAAGTTCCAAGAGGGTAAGGTCATCAACGTACTTAGACGAGTACACCATTCACTGGCCAGCCTATTCACAAGTATAGCGAAGAGAGGAGGAGCCAAGCGCGTACCTTGTGGGATGCCACCACGAGGCGAGATGGCCGAGGACAGTTGACTATTAATCCTAACACGTTGCAGCCGGCCAACCAAAAAGGCGCAAACCCAACGGACAAGGGCTTCATGAACACCAAGCACCTCCAACTCATGCAGTAAAGCCCTGTGGTCGACGAGATCGAACCCCTTACTAAAATCGGTAAACAGAATCCTGGCGTACATGCCCTCTCTGTCGAGTGATTCGAGGATGACGTGCATGAAGTATACCAGTGCGTGAGTACTAGATTTACGAGCAACCGCAAATTGCTTGTCGTCAAGCTGATCTTGAACTTGGGAGAGCAAGGACGAGTAGGTAAATCCCTCGAAGATCTTAGCGAGCTGTGAAGTTGCTGGCTTTTCTTCCCTATGTGTTTACTTTTTACCCAAAGTAAAGAGGGGGCCTGGGCCCCTCGGGCCACTACCCTAGATCCGCCATTGGAAATACAAGGTACATTCATCACTTTTATTTTTAGTGGATGCCAGGAGCTTTAAGATCCATTTCCCTAGAGAATAAGTCTGTAGAAGAGATATAAACGAACCATTTATCTACAAACTTCTATCATTTATCCACTCGCTTCACCATTTGAAAAGAGCTGGATGAAACAAAAATAATAATAATAATAATAATAATAAACACCCAATAATAATAATAATAATAATAATAAACACCCAGCGTCATCGACCGCTTTATAGTACGTGTCGAGGAAGAAAGGTGGACGTGGCCTGCAGTCCGTAGAGGGAGAATATAAGATCACGAAGATTAAGGCAGTAATAAATCTGTACTCAAACAGCGACCCTAGTATGAAAACGGTAAGAGAGTTTGAAGGGCGCGCTGCTGCGTTGGGATATCAGTCACTCGTTACTGAGGCCCTGAGGTATAGTGAAAAACTTGGACTGACGTTGAGGCTTGTATACCCGGAACCAACGTTATGTGAAGCTGCTGGAGAGGAGGTGACTGCGACAAAGGTAAAGCAGCTGCTGAGATCAAAGTATGAAGAACAGTTGTTGAAGATAGTACGTGACGAAGCATGGCAAGGAAAGTTGCATACAGCAATGGAATGATGATAGCGTATGCACTAAGAACTGCTTTTCATGGTTAAGCGATTGGACGCCATGCCCAACGTATGTTGTGGCCGGCACGTATGAAGTGTATGAACAGCTTCTATCAACGAAGTTATACCAAGTTAAGATGATTAAGACATCACAGTCAAGTAACATGTCCCGTTACTTGACTGTGATGCCATTTGCGTGGGATTATTCACCGAACGTTATCACCATACAGAGGATAAACTTCATCGGCAGTTGACAGGATGTTTTATTCCAGAAATTTTCTACTGAATATCCGGAATTTTTGGAAAATTTGGAACAACTTATGTCGCGGTTCACTCGTATGGCAGATTTCAAGTGACATTTGGGCACGTTTGAAGTTTCTGGACTTGTTGGCACCAAGAAGAGGCCACCGAGGGGGCAGAAGCCAAAGCCTGCTTAAGGATAAAAGGCGGATTGATATTGTCAATGGAAGACGGAGTTTTAATACATCAAATTCTTAATTCTTTCAGCGAAGTAATCCAAGTAATTCATTAACATATTACCAACTGCAATTATGAATAATAATAGCAGTCCAGCAACAGCTGTGACGCAGTATCACGCATTGGTCACGCCACGTACTCAAGCCTTTCAGAAGTCAAAAGTCAGTGTGCCTCACCTCAATGCACAATCGATCAAGGACAGAAACCACCTAGTACAAGTGATGAATTTAATGGCTGAAAAAGAGTATGGAATTTTGGCGGTTTCCGAATCTTGGCTAAATTCCTCTGTTACGAACGCTGAAGTTGAGATTGAGGGATACAAACCGATTAGGCTTGACCGCCCTAAACATCGTGCCGGTGGTGTCTGTGTTTATGTACGGAGAGATCTCTCAAAAGCAAAATCCTTAAAGATCTTTCTCGAATTTCAGATTCTGGCTTTCATCAGTTATGGATACAAGTTCAACACAAGAAATTGAAATCATTCTTGTTGTGTCACCTATAGAACTCCTGACTGTCCGCTCTCATGTTTAGTTGACGATTTTATGGATCAGTATTTGCAAGCCCTTACCTACGGAAAGGTCGTTTTGGTAGTTAGAGACCTCAACTGTGATCTGCTTACGAGCTCCTATGAATCGAGAGCGCTAAATGTCTTGTGTAGCAGCTTAAATATGAAGCAACTTATAACAGGACCTACAAGAGTAACTACAATATCCGAGATTCTGATTGATGTCACCATGACTTCCCTTGTTACCGATTGTGGTGTGGTTGAAACACACATTACTGATCCTTTTCTGGTATGCGTGGTGTTGAATCTCAAGGCGCCGAAACCACTGCCTACTTATGTTATATCTAGAAGCCAGTGTAAGAACTACGACTCTGAAAACTTTGTGAATGACCTCGCCCGAGTCTAATGGTATGAAAATGCTTTGATTGATGATGCTGGTGAGAAAGTAGAACATTTTAATGGAAAATTTTTGGAAATCCTGGAACGTCAAGCGCCTGTCAGGAAAGGAAAGTCAGAAATCGGCAATGTCCATTTCTAGATCAAGAGATCAAGAAGTTGATGGATGAGAGAGATCAAGTACACAAAGTTGCTTGTGAGTCGGGCGCTGCTATAGACTGGGAACATTACCGTCGGTGTCGTAATGAGGTTAAGAGAAGGCTGTACATGTGAGATGCTGAGAGGAGCTATGTTCAAAAGGAGATCAATGACAATCAAAGTAGAAGTGCCATGTGGAAGGTGATACGAAACTTTATCCAGACGAAAGAGAAATCGAGACCTGTGTATTCAAGGGATGTGACAGAACTGGCCAACGAGTTCAACGAGTTCTTTACTTCTGTGGGAGCGAGAGCTGCAGCTGAATCTGCGAAGCTTGCTTCAGTTAACGCTCTTCCAGCGTATAAGGCCACCTCAGCTAAGACCATATTCCAACTAGAAGAATTCCGATTCCGCGCAGTCGCTACCTTTGAAGTACGCAAGATCATCGTGTGTTTTCCTTCAAACAGGGCACCAGGAATGGATAAGTTACACATGAGTGTGATCAAAGATGCCCTACCGGTTATACTTCCAGTCCTGACAGAGCTTATAAACAGATAACTTTTAACATCGGTTTTTCCATCTACTTGGAAAGAATCCGTAGTAATACCATGCAATATTAAAGGAAGGGGATCATGAAGTTGCCAATAACAACCGGCCAGTATTTCTGCCACCCGCTCTGTCTAAGATTTGTGAACGGGCAGCTCTCAATCAGTTAACAGAGTATACAACATGTCAGAACTGTTTAACTGAACATCAAAATGGAAACAAGAAGAAGCACTCGACAGAAAAACTTCATACTTTCCTGTCTGATATGATTCTCGAAGCAATAGATCAGGAACAAGTCACAGCGTTGGTTCTGTTAGACTTGTCGAAGGCATTTGACAGCATCGAGCATGGGATCCTTTTACGTAAACATCTAGAACTGAGCGTATCTATGCAGGGCATGGAATGGTTTAGAAGCTATTTAACGGACAGGAACCAGCGGGTGAGAATTGGATGTGAGGTGTCAGGTCCGCGCCATGTAGCTTACGGTGTACCTCAATGGTCGATCTTGGGACCGGCCCTTTTTAATATCTATATTAACGATCTCCCAGCTGTCCCTAACCTGTGCTCGCTAAAGAGTTACGTGGATGATTCCCAGATCTATCTCTCGTTTCCTGTCCAGGAGACAGCCATGACTGTGGAACATGTGTCCGAGGATTTGCAGCGGATTGCCGCCTGGTGTTGTACACACAGCTTGCTGATTAATCCAGACAAGACTAAGCTATTGCTTCTTGGAACCCCTCAGATGTTAGCTCGCGTGCCGTAGGGCTTTGGAGTTACGCTACTCAGCAAAGAGATACGACCGTCTTGTTCTGCAAAAGGTTTGGGGGTCATCGTGGACTCTCACCTCAGTTTTGACGAACATGTGACCGAAGTTGTATCTAAGTGTATAGGAAGCCTGTGTCAAATCAATCGTGTGAAACATCTGTTCCATAGGTCTACGCTTATAACCATGATAAATTCACTAGTCTTCAGCAAGCTTTTCTTCTGTTTATCCATGTGGGCTAGTACAACAAAAAAGAACATTACTAGGCTTCAAAAAGTTCAGAATTTTGCTGCACGGATCGTGACTGGCGCAAGGAAGTATGACCACATTACGCCGATACTAAAAGAACTTCACTGGTTGCCGGTGGTTAAACAACTGGAAGTTAGAGACACTTTAATGGCTTTTAAATGTATAAAGGGATTAGCCCCACCTACCTTGTGTAATAAGTTCACGACAAGAAGCCAGGTGCATACAAAAATACTAGGAATAAAGATAAGCTTAATATACCATTTTTTAGATCGGCAACAGGTCAGCGATCCTTCTCATATAGGGCTGCTCAGCTCTAGAATGATCTTCCAGAAAGTTTAACAAACATGGGGTCATTTAATGTTTTTAAGAATGCCATTAAAGGACGTGCCCTTGACCAATTTTTAAGCCATTGACTTTCAATAGGTGTTATAATGAATTATGTATCTTAAGTTTTTAATAACACGGTAATGTAAGTTCTTATCACTTTTAAATGTTTATATTGTTTATATTACATTTTATTGTGATTGGTATGGAAGACCCATTTTGATTGGATGTACTGTACCAATAAAGCTATTTATTTTATTTATTTATTTATTTATTTATCTGTCGTATGTGCAATAAGGCACCGGAAAGCTTAGCTCACGTATTATCGGGATGTTCAGCCCTCGCCCAAAAGAAGTACTTGGCAAGACACAACAATACGCTGAAAGTACTATATTTTGAGTTGCTGCGAGAGCTACAACTGATCGAAAGTCCTCCTTCCTGCATGGTATTCGCCAATCAAGCATAAACCAGAATACGTCTCGGAGGATACATACATACATACATACATAGGTTAATTGACCACTCCCCATAGGGGCTTTTCAGGGCCAACACTCACCCATCCCACCCAAGGGAGGACATCCACCACACAGTAATCTCGTGCGTGGGAAATTAACGTCTCCTACCCCTAACCCTGCAGGAGACGGGGCCTACGGTTTATTCGTCCTTATCCGAGAAGACTAGAATATCTATCCATTTTTTGATTATAGAAAGGTAGCAAATTCTCCTCACTTATTTTAAGACCATGAGTATTGGTCCGGCCGGGGCTCGAACCCTCGACCTCCCGCACAACACAATCCGGCGCTCTAACCAATTGAGCTAACCGGGAGGCGGGTATGTCCAAGCATTGTGGGACATACCAACTTATGGGGAGAACCGGGAACTGCAAGCTAACAGAATCGATGCAAAGATAGTGAACCATAAAAGTAAGGAAGTAGCAGTCTTGGAGATGAGTTGTCCATGGATTAAGAACAGAGGAAAGAAAGATGAAGAGACGTAAGCATTATCAGTCCATGTAACGATCTCACCTTCCCACCCGTCCCACCCCAGGGAAGGACATCCACCACACAGTAATCTCGTGCGTGGGAAATTAACGTCTCCTACCCCTAACCCTGCAGGAGACGGGGCCTACGGTTTATTCGTCCTTATCCGAGAAGACTAGAATATCTATCCATTTCTTGAT